ACCTGTAGTCCTCAGGCTGTCCCTCACACCTCGCCCGGCCGTGTGGCCTCTGGAACCCAAGCGGCGACCCTGCGGACGTCCGCACCCAGCCCCCAGGCTCTGGCCCAGCCCTCCCGCCAGGGCCCGGGGCCATCCCTTCGTTCCTCCCTCCCGCGGGGCCGGACCCGCCTCCCTCCAGCCCCCACGCAGGGAAAGGTCTCAGCGGGGAAGAGAGGGAGGGGACGAAGGACAGAATTCGAGGCAACAACTTCGGAGAACCTCACACTTTATTGGAGGACGGCGGGACGGGGCGGGGCTCTCGGGCTGCCGTCTGCGGAGGGAGAAGTGGCGGTCAGGCCTCAAGACACTGGTCTCGTGACCGCCGAGCTGCCACCTTCCCGGTCCTCTCCCTTCTTGTCCCCACCAGTCCCCACCTGGCCTCCCAGTCCCCACCTGGCCTCCCAGAGCTGGACGCGCCCCCGCCTCCCCTAGAAGCCTGAGGATCCAGCGGGTGTGGGGATCTCCAGCTCCCTTGGGCGTGCCCTCTTGTCCACACTAAACAAGCCTGACGCATGGAAACCTGAGCCCGTACACATAAATCAGGCGGTAAGACTTTGCCTCATAGGAACTTACTACTTTCTTCTTTAGTTATCGTGCTCTCCTGATGCACTTTAAATATGTTTGATTTGCAAAATAGTAACAAACCATTTCCCCACGCCTGCCTTCTGCTATGTCTTGGGGAGCTCTGCAGTCCCTGAGATGTTCCTAGTGCACATGTCAGTGACCACCTGGTCCTCTTAGCCCTGTTGTCTATTTGCCTGAGGTTGCATCCCTCACCTCTTTCCACTGCCCCAGGGTCTGTCCATTTCAAGACAGTCATTGGCTCAATTATCTCCTTCTACTCTACTAGTGACTTCAGTCTTTAACCTAAGTGTTTTATAAATTGTCTAGAATCCTCCTGGGAAATAGGAAGGATAGCAGACAGCACCCTGCTGTGTGCAGTAGGGGCACTGAGAAATGATTGGTGGTGCTGTGGCAGGGGGCATTCTCAGTGGTGTTTCATTCTCCCCACCCTCCCTGCATCCACCCCTAAGCCACAATGGCCACTGATGACCAGTGGTTGGTCTTGATGCTGGGGACCTTTCATCCCACTCACCAGTAGTGTCTGTGCCAGATGTCGCTTCCTGCGAAGGGACCACCACGCCATGGTCCTGCCCTCCCAGGGCATGCTGTCTTCCAGGTGAGCCAGGGCATCACTTGGGAGGCCATAGGTAGCCTGGGCTGGGCTGCCTGCTGCAGTGCCCAGGGCCCTTCCTTAGAAGGGAACTGATGCTGTCCTCCCTACCCCGACCTCAGGCTCCGGGTGGGTGGGGGAGCCCCCAGCCATCACTTTCTTCCTCCCAATCAGGCTGGGAGACACCCACCTGGGGGCCTAAGGGCATTCTGAGGATCCTGGGCTGAGCTGAGGGCTCGCTTTCCTCCAGGGTACCAGCCATGGGACCAGTGCTGAGCCTCTGAGGGTCCAGGGTGAGCAGTCAGCAGCATCAGGAGCAGGAGGAGGCCTCGCCTGGAACTGGCCATGGCTGCTCTAATGGACAGGGTACAGCATTCAAGGAGCCTTACCTCACCCCTACATCCCACCCCCCTTCCTACAGGGCCACCTTGGAAAACTGGCATCCCAGGGGCAGCTTTGGTATCTCCTTATGCCCTTCCCTCTCTGCCACGGCTCTTCATCCCAAGCACACAGGGGTCCAGATCCTGGGGGATCCTGGCCCAGCAGGGGACGATGCTCTAGGGGACCAGCCTTCTCCCTGAGCCCGGGACACAGAGGCTACCTGCCTTGCCAACTCTGAGGGCCCTCCCACTTGTCCAAGCCCATCCATCCTTCCTTCAAGGAGTTTCCAGAAGTGGAAGAAAGTTGGAGGGGAACAGAGACCTGAATTCAGGCCAATGGATGGGAGGATAGATGGATGGTCAGGGGAGTTCTCAATATAGGGGCGTCTGGAGCACCAGTGCTAGGCCACAGAGTGGCAGGCCTTCCGCCCTTTTCTCTGTGGCCTGCTGTATCTCTTTCATAGTAGTTGGGGATGTGGAATGGATGTGTGGTGTTGATGGGGGCAAATGCTCTACCCCTTATTCCCTCCCATGCCAGGGGCAGCAAGCACAATAGATGGTAGAGCTGTTGCGGAGAGGAGAGGAAAAGGGGACTTTTCTGGCATGGTTCAGGGGTGGAGGTGCTTGGGAATGGGGAAGAGGAGCAGCACACCATGGACCCAGGATGAAGCTCGATCCAGGTGTCCCAGCCCTTAGGGAAGGCTCCCCACTCACCGAGGAAGAGCTGTGGATGAGATGGCTCCTTCAGGCGGCTGCAGGACCTTAGCCTGATGGCCCCAGGATTTATAGACCAGGCAGCTCCACCCCCAGACTCCAGTGACGTCTTGAGAGGGGAGGGGGAGAAGCTTACTACCCATCCCCCTTCCCAGAGCATCCACTCCACGAACATTCACCAGGCAGCTGGTGCCCTGAGGCCACCAACAGATGCTCCCTCGCCACCACCTTCCCAGGAGCCTCCAGGCCCGGGACTCCTGCTTCTGGCTGGCCCATGTCCTGGTCTCGCCTTCTTACTTGCCAGGCTGAATCTTCAAGCTCCTCATCTTGAGACCTAGAAAGCCCTCACAGCCCTCCCTGACGTCAAAAGAGCGTCCTGGGCAGGGGAAATGCCTGGGGGTTCCCCAACTCTCAGCTCAGGGCTTTCCCTGGTGGAGAGTGGAGGCCTAAGAGTAGGGAGCCTGGCAGGCTGTTCAGAGGTACAGGGGAGGCTGTGACCACTGTCCCAAAGGGCTTGTTTGCTCACTATAGAGTGGGTTGGGTGGACAATCCACATCCACATACCTGGGAACCAGGGCTGGGTCACTCCAGATGGCTGGGTTTGGGTGGGGCAGTACCTACCCAGGAGTGGCTTCTCTCCTGGCGAAGAAGCGGACCCATGAGATGGGGCCCAGCTGTTGGGCCAGTGCAGCCTCCCAGGGCCATCAGCAGCCGGTAGAATAATTTTGTTCCTCAAGGCTCTAACCCCTCCCCAGTCATGGATTTAGACACAACTAGCCTGGCTGCTGGAAGTGGGCTCTTGCCTCCCAGTCTGCGTCAGCAGCTCAGCTTTCCCTGGCCAGCCATCAGCCTCTGGGGGTCAGAGGCCTATTTACAGGGTTAATAGCCAATCTCCGCGCTTGGGCTGAACAGCATATGGGAGGGCCAGGGTCAGGCTTGGCATTGTGGTGGACAGAGTCATTAGGAGAGCTGGTGCATCAAATCCTGTGACAAAGATGGGGAAGGGGAGGCTTAATGGGCATCAGTCAGCCCTAGACACCTGGACTGCAGCAGCCAAGGCAGGATGGGCACACCTGTGAATTTCCAGACTGACTTATTAGCAGGCACCTGAAATGAATGTGTGGCCCGTATGTTCAGTTAAATTGTTTTGGCTTAAATACACAGACTTTGTTAACCGGGTGATTTTTAGGAAAACATTTGCTTTGTGGTTTAGTGAAAATGAATCTAAGTTCAATGTACTAGTTTAGTTCTGCTTGGGGTTTACAGAACGTTTTATTCAAAGCTGGTGTTCATTTAAAAGGGGGATGGGTGCCTTTATTTATTCTGTAATTTGATTGTTTTTTTTTTCCTGAAAAATCTAAACCGAGCTAAGCTTCCTGGGGAAAGCTCTGCTTTCCTTTTTTTTCTGGCAACATACTTAGCTTTTTAGAAATGTTTGATGTCCTTTCTAGACTAGAACTCTGGACTCTTGTATCCCTCTCATTAGACATAGAAAGCCATCTGTTCACCATGGGGCTCCAGTCCTCAGGATATGAAGTCACTGCAGCCTGGAGCTGTGCGTACTCAGGTGGGAAAGCAGAGGTTCAGAGGTGAATAAACACTCAGGTGCTGCAGGAGCACAGAAGGACACAAACTGAGCAGGCGACCTGGGTGAAGGACAGACAAGTGAGCTGGAGTCATGGACGCAGGGAGTGGCAGCGGAGGGGTGCAGCGTAAGGAACAAAATGGAAAAGGGCCAGCAGGAACTGCTGCGGATCCATGGGGCCAGAGAATGTGGGAGGGTTAGAGGAAAGGAGGGTGGGCCCCTGGGTGTGGGCAGTGGGAGGCAGGCATCTCTGGACAACCCTGACATGCGACCAGGATATGGGGGACTTGGGATTGGAGGAGAGCTGAGGGTCCACAGAGACAGACCCGGAATCCTGACCTCTGAGGGAAGAGACAGTGGAGGAGCAGCTAAAGGGTGAGGATAAGAGGCAGAGGACAGCCTGTGACACAAGGGAAGAGACCATGGATCCCTGGGGTTTAGCACCAAGGTGACCTTGGTGAACAGGGATGAAAAAGAAACGTGTGGGAATGAAATGGGGAAGAGGGAAGAGACAGAGTACAGGCTTTTTCACGTAGTCTCTCATAAACAGGGAAGAACTTAGGCCTGGGGTGAGAGACATGCTGTTTATATAATTAATTAATTATTATTTTTTTTGAGACGGAGTCTAGCTCTGTCACCCAGGTTGGAGTGCAGTGGTGCGATCTCGGCTCATTGCAGTTTCTGCCTCCCAGGTTCCAGCGATTCTCTTGCCTCAGCCTCCCTGGTAGCTGGCATGTACCACCACACCCGGCTAATTTTTGTATTTTTAGTAGAGATGGTTTCACCATGTTGACCAGGCTGATCTCGAACTCCAGACCTCAGGTGATCCGTCCACCTTGGCCTCCCAAAGTGCTAGGATTATAGGCATTAGCCACTGTGCACAGCCTATTTTTTTGAGACAGGGTCTCTTTGACCCAGGCCGAAGTGCAGTGGCATGATCACGGCTCACTGTAGCCTCTACCTCATGGGCTCAGGTGATCCTTCCACCTCAGCCTCCCAAGTAGCTGGGACTACAGGTGTGTGCCACCATGCCTGGCTGATTTTTGTTATTTTTTTGTAGAGACAGGGTCTTGTCATGTTGCCCAGGTTGGTCTCGAATCCTGGGCTCAAGTGATCCACCTGCCTTGGCCTCCCAAAGTGTGGGATTACAGGTGTGAGCCACTGCACCTGGCCTGCTCTTTATTTTTAATGAAAGAGACTTGAGTATTTGGGACAGGGGAACAAGGAAGGAAACTGCAACC